ACACACACACAAACTACCACACACAATTTTGTATCTAATTTTTAAAAAAAACAACATCCGAAAACCCAGACTACTCTTTCTTCACTTGGGCGTTAGTATCGCCCGTAACAGGTCTTTGTTTTATCACAAGGTGAACAAAGGAAGCCAAAGAATAGACGCTGAGCTGCTCCCGACGACCTGGTTCCAATGAAGAAACCACTGCATAAACATATATTATTATATACATTCACGTATATATGTATATAAATACAGAGGGATGGAGGGAAACGAGAGAAAGAGGGAAAGAGTGAATGAGGGAAAGATAGAGGAAGAGAAAACAGAGAGAGAGAGAAAGAGAAAGAGAGAGAGAGAGAGAGAGAGAGAGAGAGAGAGAGAGAGAGAGAGAGAGAGAGAGAACAGCTAGATGTAATAATGTTATACATTTTCCCCAAGCCTGATATAATCCACCCAAGTAATAGCATTTACATGTGCATGGGAATGTTAGCTTTCTTCAATCGAGAAAGGATCAGTTTAATCCACCGCCTCAACTGTCTTTCTTTTCACACCACAAAGACACAGACCTCAAGCAATTCCCTCAGCCGGTATCGCATAATGACAAAAATAAAGATGCGACATTTGTATTGCTTGTATCTTTTCTCTCTTCTTTTTTGACAGTATTTCTTCCAGGCTTCTATTCAAAGAAAAAGAAAAACAACATTGCGCAGGCGTTCTTGGTTTGCGCTTTTCATCTCCCTCCTCCAATTATCATTTTTTTGACTTGAATAAAAAATCTCACCAACTTTTTATCTCTCTGTCTCTCCTTCCACTCGATTTCTAGGACATTTTGCTCCTGGGTGTCTTTATACTCTGTACAAATTGAAGCTGTCCCCATCCCACCCCCACACCTCTCCTCCAACCCACCCTGTCGAAGGCACCTCGCCCGTGCCTCAATAATATCACTTGTCTCTTTCCCATTTACCAGCTCGGCGGTTTGTCTGTACCACCCACCTGGAGATGAAACCTCCTTTTGTAAAGAGCTCGTGTAAAGTCCTCGTGAAATTTGTTTCCTGAAGCTGCTCTTTTTCGAGGGATTTCCATTCTATAGAAATTCCCGAGAATCTTTATTTTTCAGAAAAGAGCCATTTCAATTATGTTCATTTGGCCCTTCGTGCTCAATCGTCAGATTTCAGTCGGCCCTTTTCACCACGGCGACAAATTTCGTTTGGTCCTTTTTGTTGATGATTTGGTGTAGAAAATTCAGAGAAAAAATACATAAGCTGATACAAACCCAACATTGAAAACACCAAAATATGTTTTTGTCAAGGAACATTATCACCCAAATTCTTAAAAGTAATATGGAATTGTCGTTACGGGAAAGGTTAATCCTCTACAGCCCCTCTCGCTCGTCTCCACAAAACCAGTTTTATTTAATCAAATTTTCCTGTTAGTTAAGTCCCTTGTCCGTCCCCGCGTGATGGCGCCCCAGGGGTCTGAGCAGGTGTGAGGTTTGGTACAGCAGGCGAAAACTCCCCTAGGTTTTTGGTGGATATCCACGAAGAAACTTGGAGGCGAGGCAATGCCGACGATAGAGGGTATTATTTAGTATAATATAATGATGAAGAGCAGAGTAAATAACAGCGGCCGAGTCTTTTCGCCCCAGGACGCTGACCATGTCAGTTTTGTTGAGGTCTCCGTTGGAACTGTTGTACCCCCCCCCCCCCTTTGTTGCCCCGTTCCTTGCAGTGACCACCAACAACTTTTGGGAGAACTTTTAGATAAAGAGAGCCCAATAGAGATTGGTCTTCCACATTTTCAAATGCTGATTCAATTTCAATCATTGCTCTGTTATGCTTTATTTATTTTCCAGATCCTTGAGTCTAACAAGACACGTGCTTTATGGGTTTTTTTGTCTTCAATTGAATACTTGCTCGTTCCCTGCCAGTTTTCTGTTCTGTCGTCCCAGTGTGTTTTAAACTTTTACTTTCAGTTATTTTGTCCCCGTTGTTCTGATAGCACTATGAGGCCCTTATCTGAGCCCCCCCCCC